CTGCATGTGCGTCTCATAGGCTGTTCGTAGTTTTTGTTCTATCAAGGGTTTACAATGATTGTAAGCCCTCCTGCGAGGTGTTACAATCGTTGTAATACCTCCTACGAGGTGTTACCACAATTTCAAAAACTCCATATCAAGTTAACAAACAGCCAGTAGGTTTATAACCAAGCATACGACACCAACTTGTGTTGTCGAACTGCTGCTAAAGGTAACTGGATGGGTAGGCTGGTTATCAATAAACCCGGAAGGAGTGAGATCTGCATTCTGACTGTTGGCTGTAGGGGATGCTGTATGATTCCGTGAAGCTTGTGCATAGTTGTAGATTTATAACTTTAAGAGTCCGTGCAGAAACAATGTGGAGGTCTGGATGGTCCCGGATGGATGACTTGTAGCTTGCCGAAACCATGCTGTACCGACTGGTGGTCCAGAGGACCCATTAATGGTAGCTGGCTGGTTGTCCGTGTCATCCAAGCAGGAACCAAGTGATGGTCCAGAGAACCCCTTCATGGTAGCTGGCTGGTTGTCCATGTCATCCACGCAGGAACCGAGCGGTGGTCTGGAGAACCCCTTGATGGTAGCTGGCTGGTTGTCCATGTCATCCATGCAAGAACTGAACGGTGGTCTGGAGAACCCCTTGATCGTAGCTGGTTGGTTGTCCATGTCATCCACGCAAGAACCGAGCAGTGGTCTGGAGAACTCCTTGATGGTAGCTGGTTGGTTGCCCATGTCATCCACGCAAGAACCGAGCAGTGGTCTGGAGAACTCCTTGATGGTAGCTGGTTGGTTGTCCATGTCATCCACGCAAGAACCGAGCAGTGGTCTGGAGAACTCCTTGATCGTAGCTGGTTGGTTGTCCATGTCATCCACGTAAGAATCGAGCAGTGGTCTGGAGAACCCCTTGATGGTAGCTGGTTGGTTGCCCATGTCATCCACGCAAGAACCGAGCAGTGGTCTGGAGAACTCCTTGATGGTAGCTGGTTGGTTGCCCATGTCATCCACGCAAGAACCGAGCAGTGGTCTGGAGAACTCCTTGATGGTAGCTGGTTGGTTGTCCATGTCATCCACGCAAGAACCGAGCAGTGGTCTGGAGAACTCCTTGATGGTAGCTGGTTGGTTGCCCATGTCATCCACGCAAGAATCGAGCAGTGGTCTGGAGAACCCCTTAATGGTAGCTGGCTGGGGGTGCCCATGTAGTGTACGTGGAAACAGTGCAGTGATCTAGAAGATCCATGATTGTAGGTAATGCGATTGTGATCCATGGGCCTAATTGTCAGGAGCCTGCCAGTCCTTGTACTTGTGACAGACTGTGATGGTCGGGTATCTCACCTGGGTAAAGCTTGGCAGCGACAACCCCTGGTTGGCTGTCAGTGCCTTTTCATGTGTCCTGTCTGGAGGCCGTACAATGGTTGTGATAGCTGATGATGACGGGTTAGGCTCGTCAGCATACATTCCCCATGAGGCCTCTTGGCCGAAGGTTTCTTCTGAGTCTTTCAAGTGCTGTCTTTTGGTCGTAGTGATAGCTGACGATGACAGGTTAGGCTCGTCAGGATACATATCCCAGGCGGCCTCTTGGCCGAGGGTTTCTTCTGAGTCTGGTCAAGCCCTGTCTACACTTTAGCTGCTCCACTTTTGGTGACAGCACTGAATCAAACAAGGATACCAACATAGATTCCTGCTTGGAGTAGAGTTCTTCAAGCATGGTCAGATGTTGGAGAGTGATGTCTTTTTGGTCTACCATCGCTTGGCTTTTCTTAATGGAGTCAGTACATGGAGAGGGAGAGGTCGACGATGCCATGATGGACACACAGAAACAGCCATCGATGTTAATCAGAAAAAACAGCCAGTTTCTTGAAGACGACATCTCAATTGTACCGTATTCAACATAATAACCGTCCCGCTCTAATAAGCGCCCACAGCAATATTTGGTAATATAAGGGCTAGTGAACAATCCCACTTAGCACCCCTCCTGATTGATCAATGTACACAAGACTTATTTATTCGCGTATAATACGCACTCGTGTGTTATATGGACCCTTAATTATGGGCAATTTAATTCTGGAAAATATATCTGTCATACATAAACATTTCAGGGTGTCAGCATTAACCAAGAAATTTATCTTTCAATTCTGTTTTTTTTCACCAAAATAATATTCTAATAAGAGTCCCCTATTTCTAATTTTGAGAGTGCCCTGAGCGCTTATTACGTTGAATACGGTAATACTAATAGACTAACTGAACAATAAGTAGAAATAGTGTGACGACACAACTATAAATTGTCTATAATGTAGATGTTTACTCTAGGTCACACAGGAAAGAAGTGAGGATTTTCCCACCTTTACACACAGGAGAGCTGTACACTGCTTGGTGCTATCTGGGAACAACTAGTGATGTATAGTTGACAGTGAAAAGGAAAATTTATTTATAGTGTCATTGCAGCCAAAATGCAGGATTTATGGTATTGATGTGATAGAGTAAATAGTAATAGAATGAATGGCATCTTTGTCCAGATATGAATTATTTGAGCATGGTTTAGAGGCATCATTGCCCGGATCATTAATACAAAGTTTCAGCTCAAAAGGTCTTCTAGATTCAGAGATGTTGAAAATCTAGAAATTAAAAAACACTGGGAGTATGTGAAGGTTTGTGGTTGTAGCGTGATATCAAAATGAAAATGTTAAAAAACTTATTATCCTGCATGATGCATGCAAAAATGCCAGCGTAATGAGCAAAAAATAACATTTCCAATATGATCGTATTGGGAGTCAGGTTTAATTTTGATCGCAATGCTATAAGAAATATTTAGAGATGTCACAGCTGGTATCATTAATACAAAGTTTCAGTTTCATAGCTTCGTAGTTTCAAAGTAGAAGTTGAAAATACAGTAGCACCAGATAGCCACTGGTGGCATGTGGTCCTTAGTATGCACAGCGCACAGGTCACAGGTTACATACTGTCAATCTTGAAATTAACAGGAGTGTGAATTAAATGCGAAAAATGCAAGTGGTCTTACTTCGCATAAATGAAACTTTGCATTTACGTCTCCAAAATGAATATCAAGAATGAGACGGCATCACTGCACACTTTGGATAGAGGAAATACCAACTTGAATATAAACACAAATATGGTTTATTGAGCGGCAGTTGTAAGAAGTGAGTAAATAGTCATTTATAGGATAGGAATTATGTAATAAGCATCCGGTGAGTTATCACTGCTGGGGTCAAGAGTTCTTCCCACTTGTCTCAAACTAGGCATCATTGACCACTCCAGTTCAAGTTTTTGACATCTTCTCCGCATACCAATCTGTGAACCATTGTTGGTTTAATTATTTTATTGCCTTTGAACTTCCTTAATACCAATCAACAGAATAAACACATAAACTGTTTATTGTTTTTACGGAAGTGCTTTACTCAGTTCTAATAACCGGGACTATTTGCTGTTAGATTGGATTGAGGTAAGGACATGTATCATTCCACTGGGGATGGGGTGGGGGGAGTCACATTGATATTGAGTCACATTTTTGGCTAGGGGTCAGCAGTCATATTAATTTGGAGACGCATTAATTTCAAGATTTACAGTATCGGGTGAAGTTAAGCAACGTCGGTCTCGGAGAGTAGTTGGATGGGTGACCACGTTCAGCAGCTTGACTCCTGAGAGTTTCTAGGACTTCGGTCCTGCCCCACACTGAAGCACATGAACCACATGTGGTGTCTCCTTGGACAAGTGACTTTGTTCTAAATGTGCCTCTGTTCACCCAGCAGTGAATGGGTACCAGGTAGGATGAGATAGCAATGTGGTTGTTAACCTTCTCGCGATTTACGGGCAGCTTGGGTTGTATACTCCCCAGGGAGCTGAGTATATTTCTTGAGTGCACACTGATCCAGTAACCGTGTAATAATATCGCTTTGAGCATGCCCCTTAGTGGTGTGGAAATATGAGCAATATTATCCTTATGACCTATTATTATTATTATGGCCTATATATTATTATTACTATTATATTATTGAAATGTGACTATGTTTGTTTCAAACCCTTTAAATTTCAAGAGTGTATTTTAAGAGTGTCAATCTATGCAATCTGAAATATGTTTCAGATTACTGTATTACTCTTCAACTCTGGGGACAATAAAAAAAAATTAAAAAAGAAAAAAAGTCTATGTTTAGGTGTGTGAGTTGTGATCACCTTAGCGCTAAGATTGCTTTGAAACCAGAATCTAGAAGTGGAGCATAAGTGGCCTTACCTGTCATAAGTCGATGTTAGGTATGCGAGTTGAGATCACCATATGACTGATGCAAGTCAATGTTAAGGTATGGGCGCTGTGATCACCTTAGCGCTAAGAGCGCTTTGTACAATGGCAACCAGAATCTAGAAGTGGAGCATAAGTGGCCCTACCTGTTGTAAGTCAATGTTAGGTATGCGAGTTGAGATCACCATATGACTGACGTAAGTCAATGTTAAGGTATGGGAGCTGTGATCACCTTAGCGCTAAGAGTGCTTTGTACAATGGCAACCAGAATCTAGAAGGGGAGCATAAGTGGCCCTACCTGTCGTAAGTTGATGTTAGGTATGTGAGTTGAGATCACCATACGACTGATGCAAGTCAATGTTAAGGTATGGGAGCTGTGATCACCTTAGCGCTAAGAGTGCTTTGTACAATGGCAACCAGAATCTAGAAGTGGAGCATAAGTGGCCCTACCTGTCGTAAGTTGATGTTAGGTATGTGAGATGAGATCACCATACGACTGACCAAAGTCAATGTTAAGGTATGGGAGCTGTGATCACCTTAGCGCTAAGAGTGCTTTGTACAATGGCAACCAGAATCTAGAAGGGGAGCATAATTGGCCCTACCTGTCGTAAGTCGATGTTAGGTATGTGAGTTGAGATCACCATACGACTGACCTAAGTCAATGTTAAGGTATGTGCGCTGTGATCACCTGAGCGCTAAGAGCGCTTTGTACAATGGCAACCAGAATCTAGAAGTGGAGCATAAGTGGCCTTACCTTGAAGAAAGTACTGCTGGCAATCCGGGGGTATCCCAGAGTTCCTGAGGTAGCGTAGGCGGTAATGGGTGGAGAGTAGCCCAGGTTGGGAAAATTGAGTCGGTACTTTACGTGGCATCCATGATCAGTTCGAATCTCTTGCAGAATATGTATATCCACATCCACATTGTACAGTCTCCGCGCGCACTGTGTCAACTGACCTGTGACGTAATACGCAAACCCCACACGTTTCGAACGGTACGTCAATACACATCCGCCACTGTCTTCCATTTCCACGATAAACGAAGGACTCTGCAACTTAGGGTAGCTGAATCGTATAGTTTCGTGTAAGTTGTCAATTCCGTTTAAAAAGTCCCTATAATGACGTCCAGCAACACGTAGAACTTTATCGTATCCATAATGCCGACAGAAGTCCACGAAACATTGTCCGAAGTAGTACATGTACTCGTCAAAGTTGCGGTCCTGCAGAACAGCACTGCAGCTGGTGGCTAAGTTGACCATTATTTCATCCTTGTAGACTTTATGTGTGGAAAAGATCATGTTCTTCATCCCTGCATGCTCCAGTATTTGCTGCCAGCTCTCCATCCCGTAGGTTTCCTGGACGTAGTGCTGGATACTCTCCAGCAGCATCCCGTACATGGTGCCGCGCTGGCCCTGCGTCTTCCAGTAGTGCTGCTCACACTGAAACAAAGGTGTCCTTATTATACAGGTGCATCTTTACAGAACATACACTGAAACAAAGGTGTCCTTATTATACAGGTGCATCTCTACAGAACATACGCTGAAACACAGGTGTCCTTATTATACAGGTGCATCTTTACAGAACATACACTGAAACACAGGTGTCCTTATTATACAGGTGCATCTTTACAGAACATACACTGAAACACAGGTGTCCTTATTATACAGGTGCATCTTTACAGAACATACACTGAAACACAGGTGTCCTTATTATACAGGTGCATATGTACAGAACACATACACTGAAACACAGGTGTCCTTATTATACAGGTGCATCTTTACATAACATACACTGAAACACAGGTGTCCTTATTATACAGGTGCATCTTTACAGAACATACACTGAAAAACAGGTGTCCTTATTATACAGGTGTCCTTATAATACAGGTGCATCTTTACAGAACACATACACTGAAACAAAGGTGTCCTTATTATACAGGTGCATCTTTACAGAACATACGCTGAAACACAGGTGTCCTTATTATACAGGTGCATCTTTACAGAACATACACTGAAACACAGGTGTCCTTATTATACAGGTGCATCTTTACAGAACATACACTGAAACACAGGTGTCCTTATTATACAGGTGCATCTTTACAGAACATACACTGAAACACGGGTGTCCTTATTATACAGGTGTCCTTATTATACAGGTGCATCTTTACAGAACATACACTGAAACACAGGTGTCCTTATCATACAGGTGCATCTTTACAGACCATACACTGAAACACAGGTGTCCTTTTCATACAGGTGCATCTTTACAGAACATACACAGAAACGCAGGTGTCCTTATTATCCTGGTGTCCTTATTATACAGGTGCATCTTTACAGAACATACACTGAAACACAGGTGTCCTTATTATACAGGTGCATCTTTACAGAACATACACTGAAACACAGGTGTCCTTATTATACAGGTGCATCTTTACATAACATACACTGAAACACAGGTGTCCTTATTATACAGGTGCATTTTTACAGAACATACACTGAAACACAGGTGTCCTTTTCATACAGGTGCATCTTTACAGAACATACACAGAAACGTGGGTGTCCTGATTATGCATGTGTCCTTATTATACAGGTGCATAGTTACGGAACATACGCTGAAACACAGGTGTCCTTATTATACAGGTGCATCTTTACATAACATACACTGAAACACAGGTGTCCTTATTATACAGGTGCATCTTTACAGAACATACACTGAAAAACAGGTGTCCTTATTATACAGGTGTCCTTATAATACAGGTGCATCTTTACAGAACACATACACTGAAACAAAGGTGTCCTTATTATACAGGTGCATCTTTACAGAACATACGCTGAAACACAGGTGTCCTTATTATACAGGTGCATCTTTACAGAACATACACTGAAACACAGGTGTCCTTATTATACAGGTGCATCTTTACATAACATACACTGAAACACAGGTGTCCTTATAATACAGGTGCATCTTTACAGAACACATACACTGAAACAAAGGTGTCCTTATTATACAGGTGCATCTTTACAGAACATACGCTGAAACACAGGTGTCCTTATTATACAGGTGCATCTTTACAGAACATACACTGAAACAAAGGTGTCCTTATTATACAGGTGCATCTTTACAGAACATACACTGAAACACAGGTGTCCTTATTATACAGGTGCATCTTTACAGAACATACACTGAAACACGGGTGTCCTTATTATACAGGTGTCCTTATTATACAGGTGCATCTTTACAGAACATACACTGAAACACAGGTGTCCTTATCATACAGGTGCATCTTTACAGACCATACACTGAAACACAGGTGTCCTTTTCATACAGGTGCATCTTTACAGAACATACACAGAAACGCAGGTGTCCTTATTATCCTGGTGTCCTTATTATACAGGTGCATCTTTACAGAACATACACTGAAACACAGGTGTCCTTATTATACAGGTGCATCTTTACAGAACATACACTGAAACACAGGTGTCCTTATTATACAGGTGCATCTTTACATAACATACACTGAAACACAGGTGTCCTTATTATACAGGTGCATTTTTACAGAACATACACTGAAACACAGGTGTCCTTTTCATACAGGTGCATCTTTACAGAACATACACAGAAACGTGGGTGTCCTGATTATGCATGTGTCCTTATTATACAGGTGCATAGTTACGGAACATACGCTGAAACACAGGTGTCCTTATTATACAGGTGCATCTTTACAGAATATACACTGAAACAAAGATGTCCTTATTATACAGGTGGATCATATCATTACAGAACATACACTGAAAGACAGGTGTCCTTTTTATACAGGTGAACCTTTAAAAAATACACACTGAACATCAGGTATGTTTATTATACAGGTACATCTTTAGACTATATACTGTGAAACATCGAGGTCTTCTTGTTTACAGGTTATACACTGAAATGTAGAGGTGTCCTAATTATACAGGTGCATCTTTCAGAATATACACTGAAACACAGGTGTGCATATTATAAAGGTGCACCTTCAGACAATATACACTGAAACATAGAGGTCTTCTTGTTTACAGGTTCCTTTTGATGAGTATACACTGAAATGTAGAGGTGTCCTAATGATACAGGTGCATCTTTAGACAATATACACTGAGACATAGAGGTCTTTTAAGTATACAGGTGCTACCTTAATTACTATACACTGACATGTAGAGGTGTCCAGATTATACAGGTGCATCTTAAAAAAATACACACTGAAAATCAGGTATCCTTATTATACAGGTGCATATATATTTAGACAATATACACTGAAACATGTTGTTCTTCTTGTTTACAGGTGCTTCTTTAATGAGTATACATTGAAATGTAGTGGTGGTCTTATTATGCCTATACAGTGAAGAAGGGGGACATGTTCCAAGTTTTCTTGGAAGCCCATGAGTGAGAATATCAAGACATATTCATATTTGGAATCAGGTTTTAGATCTATAGATTTTCTAGGAGGTTGAAAGATTTTAGCCACGTCCAAGAATGGATCGGAGTCCTACCACATGCGAAATCCTATCATGGATCGGAGACCTACCACATGCCACATCCTACTATGGATCAGAGACCTACCACATGCCACATCCTACTATGGATCAGAGATCTACCACAGAGACACGACCTAGCTAGATCTGAATCCCACCCTGCACCTTCCATAGAAAGCCAACATATGAATATGAGATTGGCAATACAATCCAAACCAAATATTGCTCACCTCATCTTTGTTTGCTGGCAAAGAAATGGAACTAACTGCCCCCTCCATCCCCTATCATCACCCACCCATGTAAGGTACATCTACCACTTATTAAGTCAAGAATATTAAACAACTCACCGTTACTGTATGGTTAGACATTGTATCAAGCTCATCTCGTTCTGATTTGGCACGGAATAAATTCTAGTCTTTTGTAATATAACCACAAAATATAAAACATGGCACACACAGAAAACCCAATCAACAGAATCAAAATATGTTCGTCATGATACCGGTTGGAGCCAAAAGTGTATTAAGAAAATTAATTAAAATGAAAATGATACGAAGAAAAAAGTGCGCCAGAAATTAACTCCTTTTTCTTCTCTCACTTTGAAAAAGTCATCAGGGAGATCTGTTTCTCTTTGCATATGAATCAGAATGTCAGTTCAGAAAGGCAAAATCAAAACAAGGGAATTTGGCCAAGAGGTTTAACTTAACCTGGTCAGTCTGATTGTTTAATAATGGTCAAATAGCCAAATCCCTTCCATTGATTTACCCTCCTGGGTGACGTTGTACAAAGCGATCTTAGCACTAAAGTGATCGTAACTCCCATTCCTCAGCATAGGCTTACGACAGTCGTAGCGCTAAGGTGTTTTGTACAACATAGACTTACGACGGTCGTAGCGCTAAGGTGTTTTGTACAACATAGACTTACGACAGTCGTAGCGCTAAGGTGTTTTGTACAACATAGACTTACGACAGTCGTAGCGCTAAGGTGTTTTGTACAACATAGACTTACGACAGTCGTAGCGCTAAGGTGTTTTGTACAACATGGACTTACGACAGTCGTAGCGCTAAGGTGTTTTGTACAACATAGACTTACGACAGTCGTAGCGCTAAGGTGTTTTGTACAACATAGACTTACGACAGTCGTAGCGCTAAGGTGTTTTGTACAACATAGACTTACGACAGTCGTAGCGCTAAGGTGTTTTGTACAACATGGACTTACGACAGTCGTAGCGCTAAGGTGTTTTGTACAACATAGACTTACGACGGTCGTAGCGCTAAGGTGTTTTGTACACTGGCACCCTGAACCAGAAATAAAGGAGACCAATGAAACAGCCTCATCTGTTTCATATTAAGATTGATTTAGAAAACTGGATATTAAATAAAATACAGACCAAAATTAAAATTACTAAAGACGTTGTCTTAGTAGGAATCCAGCACAGACATACAACCCAATAAATGCACTAATCATTGTATCAAAAAACATGATTTATAGATATAAATTTTTCAATAAACCGCCCACATTTAACCAACTTAAAGGGGAGCTCACACAACATTACTGCATAACCAAATACAATGCATCAATGTATGATAGCAAGAACCCCTTTAACAAATTTTGGTGAAATTGTCACTCACTGTTTAGTTGATAACTTTATTCATGTATAGCTTGTATACATATCACTGTCTTTTGTGTCTATTTATAGAATCATGATTTCTCAATTTGTAATATGCAACAGGGAAAAAAATATTAATTAACAAAAATAAATAAATATTTAGATTAATGCATAGGATTCATAGTGAGTGAGTATGGTTTTTATGCTGCTTTTAGCAATATTCCAGCAACATCACGGCGGGGGACACCAGAAATGGGCTTCCCACATGTACCCATGTCATGAATCGAACCCGGGTCTTCGGCGTGACGAGCGAACGCTTTAACCACAA